ACCTCAATCAAAGGATTGCGAAATGGTTCAAGAATAGCCTTATTTCATCTTTGTTCAGCTCACAGCCGGCCGGCAAACTCATGAAGAAATACCTAGCTGACCGCAAAATAACTGAGGTCTCCGACTGAAACGTGACGGCACGAACTTTATAGAGGAAGGTATTCGTAGCCGAAATTCTATTTACAGGTGCAATAGGAAACTGGCAATATTATTTATACTTTATAGAGCAAAATGAATATGTCTGCAGTCGAGAGAGGAAGTTGTTGGCCTGATAACAGCTCTTAGCTCACGTACAGTGCTAAATGCGGTGCGCATAAATATTGATGTGTTTTTTTCTGGTTTTGAAATTATTTGGCCCAAGAGGAGCTTTCCGCTCGCAATTTATCCTGGTGTAATCCCCTAGAATTCAAGCATGTTTTTTTTAGTACAGTCTATAATTGTCTTCAAGGTAGTACCCTTGTCGAGTGATGCTCGAGTTCTTCCACTCATCCCTCTAAAATTGAGTCAAACACACGGAAATGCGTCAAACGAGATGAAATGAACCCCTCTTTTACATACATACGGGAAGTTCAACGAGTTCTGCCTTAGCCGATTGTCTACTTGAAATTTAGCGAGCGTTCAATGTAATTCAAACTACTCAGACCTGGTCATCTTTGTGACGGTCTGTGTAATCTCCTTTGGACAGAGAAGACACTGTGAAGAATTTTAAAGCTATCTGTAAATTCTTTAATACTATTAAAGGTTTTATGATCTTAACGACAGTCGGACCACCTTTACCAATTTTGCTCCGATGGATTTTCTCTGTCTTGAAATGCAGTTGCTTCTTCAGACTTATTAACTCAATTAAATCAACACAGACAACCGTAAAGGATCAGTAAAAGATCGATCACAGTTGAAGTGGAGGTCTGGCTAATTCCCCCATCAGATCCCAAAAGGAAGGATTTAAAACTATTTGATCTTCAATAATTTTTTCTTAAGGAATTCGTGAAATCGACAGAAAGAAATCATCTGAAATCCATTGTCGCCAATCATCTTTGGCCACTTTCCAATAATAACACGGTTCGTGCGCAAAGGGAATTCTCCAAACACGCCTGGGAATTCCTTCAACACAGTCAAATGTTCCTTATCTTTGGCTAATTTGTTGTGAAAACGATTGTCAGCTCCGTAGAATCCTGGCTCCAGTCAGGAACAGGTGTCCCGCCTCATGCACGGTCTTAATGATGTAAATTTCCCGTATTGTTGAATCCCGATGTTAATAGATTCCAATAGATGAAATGATTTTGCTCGTTCAAAAATACTTTTTTCATAACATTTTAGTGGAATTATCTGGATTGGAAAAGTAATTCAAACTTTCCCTTTGTGGTTTTGCAATGAAATTTCCAAAAGAGTTTGTTTTGTTTTCGGTTTTTTCTTTAGCTAACGGGCGTACTTGAAAAAGAGTATTATAAATTCATACAATTCAAATAAGTAGTCCTCCTTCAAGGATCATAAAATGATAAGATCTTGTTCTCACAAACAAGGAGAACAATTCAGCTCAATCTCATAAAAAACTTTGTAGTTATAAGTGACATTTAAGGGAGTCTGACTCCATCCAGAAAGATTTCGAGATCCCAGTAAAGATTCGGGAGAAAAAGATTCACAAGAGAAAAAGATTCACCAGAATAGCGTCGAACCAAGGTCCTCCCACATTTTTCTAGTGTCCATTATAAACAATGTGGATTTGTATTTATGTATCTTTATCGAGAGATGAAAGCTTTTGAATGAACTTATCAGCTGCTTATTCGCGACAGCTATTTTATCAGTTTTCAGCAGTGTCTGTCTCCTAAGGTCTTTGTTACTAAGGTATTATGTTATATGGTCATGCAGACTGCAAGCCAAAAGCACAGCACGCCCCCACAATGCTGCCATCATTGTTTTTTAAAAAATCATCTGGTTCACAATTTTTTATGGAAAATCTGTTCAGATGTGCATCCTAAATTGGCACAAAACTTAGATTTCTCTGAATTAAATTTTCACCCAAACTCTTTACAGTTGTTTACCCATTTAAAACATTGAAATGTGACGGCAGGAACTGCATATTAATAGCCAGTATGAGAAATGGTATCCTTGTTTCAAAAGACTGGCACTAATTTTAACAAATCATTGGTATCTCTTAGCCTAAGAAATCTAAACTAGTCAAAAGGATTTGTAACTTTGCCTAAATCCCTTTGCAATATGAACTCCAAGGGGACCTCAGAAACGACTGTGAATTATGTAACGATTTCATTTAATTGCAAAAGAATTCCCATGTAACTATATACGTCGCAGCTCAAACTACACTTAGAGTTCGGCGCCCAAAGTCTGCCGAAGAAACAAGTTTTTTCTAGCATAAAACTGCGCAATTGACCCTCCAAGAAGCACAATGGGTTCCTGCTGTGAAATCAAAATGCGAGTAATTAATATGGATTGTCATCTAACAATCTTACACCATGTATCAATTGACCTTGAGGCTGAACGTAGTATATTCAGAAAGTCCTTTTATTACACGATCTCTTGTGAGCTTTTTCGATGGATTGAGAGAGAATTTTGCCAAGAAAACATACGATAGTTTACGATGAAAATCGTGTACGTCCTTAGACGACGAGCTACCCTCTAACCCTATCGGAAATCTCCCATATCAATCAAGTCATCGATATGTGGTAACCGGTGATAGCTCACTAACCAGAGCGGAAATCTCGAAATACGCCTTCTATTTGACGAGCTAAATGACTGGAATCAGCTGAAGTCCGAGAAAAAAACCGTGAGTTCCGTCAACTCAAAATGAACTCTAAGGGATCGGAAATGTACTCCATTGTTACAAATATCGTTAAAGGAAGAACGTCTGTATGTAACACTGCGCCTTTAAAAGGAACTTGAGGGATATAACTTTCTCTGAATTTGTACTCTTCTTTATGTCCATTGATAAAAAGAAGACGGTTTCTCTTTACCATACTTCTCTTTCCAGAGACCCAGAAATATGACCGCTAAACCAGGGAGACAGATACTAGTATCTAATTTCAAAGAAATTTCTCCAGTACGAAAGGGACAAGCATACTAGACACCAAAACAACCTCCTGCCTATCCTGTATCCTCTGTTGATGTACCGTCTCTCAGATAATATAATGCCTTTGTTCAGTATGGAAAGATTTCGTGGAGCCGATGGATCTAGGAGAGAAAAGGAGCCCTGTAAATTCTCAATTATTTATGCAACGAGATCGATTGCAAAAGATATTTTTTCGAAGATAAGCTTTTAAAATCAAGTTTCAAGATTAAAATTTCTTCCAAGATAACAGCTCACGCCCTTTTCTTTGGTTATAGCTTCACTGAGATGAAAACCCTGACCACTTAATATCCAATTAATTTTTTAGCCATGTTTTACCGCTTTATCTACACTCTCAACAAGATCCTGTGATCTTCGTGAGCCAAACCGTCCGTTACCTTGAGTTTAAAGAACACAGCAATCATCCAACTCAATTAAAGTAATAACGACGCACAGATTAAAGTCTTAACAAATGACTTGTGGACATCATCCATGGTCAACTTGAAATTTGTCAAACTTCCTTGTAACGTCATTACTTTGGAGTGGTTTCCTTTGGTATACTACGCGGTTCTCTGTGGCGGACACCACTTGCCGAGAGAACTTATAAACAGCCCCCTTAGAAACATTTCTATTTAGGGGAAATTCTTCAAGGTGTTTTGTACAGGTTTAAGATTTTTCGGCCGGTTACAAGGAGCTCTCCAAGTGCCTGGAAGGAAATAGAGATTGTCACCTTTTTAGAACTCATAAGAGAAGCCGCCCGGAGATTTTTAATGCTCCGCTTTCCGAAACTATCATTTCTAGTCACTGACAAAATTGTAAACTGTCACATTAGAGTAGCCTATTCAAGAATTTTCCATGGAAAATTCGTAGGAAGGTTTTCTATCTGAGGAATGTTAGCCGCGACACGTGCGCGCAGATGATATCAGCTTTCGATAAGACAAAAAAGGGATATAAGTTTGTTTGGTATTTTGTTGACATACCTTGATGAGCTGTAACACAGCAATAATGTGGGATTCTGTTGGTTGTTTGGTTCACACTGTATATTAGCCAATAATTTGGACATTTTTATTATCTGTGTTAATTTACTCTAACTATTATCTTACTCCACCTAATCCTCGATCTCGTATTTCAGCTCAGTAGCAGGTTGACTACAGTTCGCGCTTCTAAATTGTTTTAGAACAAACGTTAATGGGGCTACATCCGACAAAATCTAAACCTGTGGCTAGATATGAGTGCAAGAACATTTTTCACATCCTTTGCTAAGCGCAGGAAAAACCAACTCGTGAACTCGACATGGCTGTATAATCAAGGCTCGAAAATCTTCATGATATCTCACGGCCAATTAATCTTACAAACATCCGTTTCTTTTTTCAAGTTGTTAAATGAAGTAAGTCGGTGGCTTTCAGACACTTTTATTGACATATTGTTCTTTAAGTCCAATAACAGGTACGACTTAATCGATGTGTTATTCTCACGAACCATTTAAGTTGCCGCTGCACCTTTTAATGGGCAACAGAATAATTTACTCTGAGCGTGCGTTTTAGCACCCGCACCCCTTTGATCGCTGTCGTCTGAAAAAAATCGCTCGCTCAAGAGACTTGTGTCTAAACACCTGTGGCATCAAATTTCACTCAATGAGCAACAATTCTCAGCATTTAAAATTTAATTAAGGCGTGAAAAGTTTAGATTGACACCTAGAAAGGTCACCCAGCGGCCGACGATAAAAGATTGTGATAAGCATCTTAATTACATTTACAGTTAATTGTTCCTAGCAAGTACTAGGGGGCACACCTTATTAATGGCCGAGACTTATGTCTCCTCCTACATCTCAGATTGTACTTTGCAATGTTTTCTTGAGGTCGTGTTGGATAGACCACTGACTAGGTTCCTTCCTTCGCTGAGAAGGAGTCGGTTACACTTGTCCTACATTTCCGTTAACACTTCCTAATTGTTCTTTGCGGCCGATTTCGCTTTTAATTTCCCACAAAGGCGCGCGCCTGATTTGCCGGTTGACGTAACGGGTGTAGCCGTGACGCATGATAAAAGGTTCGCGGCAGGCCACTGGCATTCAGTTTAGTGCAGTATGGCCTTGGGGGTGAATCTGCTTCGGGTATTAACGCTTCTCACGCTACAGTAAGTAATTTGCTAATTGTCCCAATTCAAGGCTTTGAAAGGCCAGCGAATCGAGGCTTCCTATGAAAATGAGATCGAATGAGATTACAATTCATCGCTTCCAATGTAAATGATTGCGTCTTCCTGAAGTATCATCAATAATTTTTCACTTGGCTAAGTACTAAAGACCGGTTTCTGTGCTTTAACAACCAAGTAAATCCTACATTGACGTCATTTTTTTGTTTCAGTTCATTACTGCCGGATGGACTTGCTGAAGAGAGCGGTGTTAATCAGGTAATCGAGACTGATCGTGATTCTTGCAAGAACCAAATTTAAACAGAATTGCATCGTGTATTTAACTCACGCAGTTTGTCGTTCTTTCATGTATTTTCTTCTTAGAAACCGGAAGAAAAAAAGGTTTATGACCAACATTATTTGGAACAGAAGGCCAAGAGTGACACAAATAGCGTAGCTTTTCGGAGATTCATTCAGTTGTACTCAAGGAATAGCGGCCGCCATGTTAGAATCAATCCAGATAGAAGCGTAGACGCCATCGGTGAAGACGGCGACAAATACGGTACTAACTCGAAAATTGCTTTGTTACTGTATAATTAATATTGTAAAAGCTTGTTTACTCTGGCGGTTATTACTTGTCTGTTGCCTTAAGCTTAATGCTTATTGTGAAAGCGGCCTCTTACACTTTTGTTTCTCAGTTTGACAGGTTTTAACGGTAAAAATGTCGCTTTTACACTTCTCTTCTTGAACATTGAAGTTTTCTTTTCCTCATCTTTGAAACGAGTTGACTGTTTTGATGCCTGTTATGTTTTGCGGGAATTTTTGAAATAATCTTTGGAGCATTTTCAAGAAAATTTTGTGCGAAGCCCAAAGTTAGGACTACTTTGCTTTTTTCTGTGTACAAAAGCGGGAGTGCATGGCATTTAAATGGTTTTTCTCTCTCGAACTCTGTATTATCAAACCACAAGAAGGCTTGTTTATTCGTTTCTTTCTCCAACTTGAAGTTACGTTTACGTTAGTGAATGCAGCGAAAATCAAAACTATGATCACATGCTTGTCAATAGTTTCAGAAAATCATAAATTTTTCGCATTCTTTCTAAATAATACAGGGTATTTTGAAGGCAGAAAGGTTAATTGTAGCTATTATTAGTACAAATGCAGGTTCTTTGAAAGAAATCCCAAATTAAAAAAGTTATTTTAAACCTTACCCACAGGAGTACTTGTTCTTTCGACAGACGAGCCAAAAGTGCGTGATAAAAAAGTCTCGTCGCCCTTTTGACATAGCTCGGGTTACTCCTTTCCACAGTACCTCGTCAAGAATTCAAGAGTCTCAATAGTGTTTGACACAAACTTATTTGATTGCCAAGCTATGAGAGCTTTGTTTACATAAGTGTGAAAGGAAAAGAAGTCCAAGAATCTGTCAATAATTGAGCAAACCCATTTGCAAAGGAAGACCTCTTAAACTGCAACTTTTTGTTGAAAAATATGTGTGATTTATCAACATCCTTGAAGTGCGCTTATAGTTGACAGACCAACGAATCGCCGTGGTAGGTTTATTGTTGCGTTTTGAGAACCCGTTTTCAAATACTTAATCCTCTTTTCGTTAATTGTATGAAAGAGATTTCGCGACAGGTAACAAACAGTTTTGCATCACACGAAGGCGCTTTTAATAATTACTGCCACAGCATTATAATTGCTACCAAGCGACCGTTGGTCTAGCGACAAAAATAAACAAAGAGAAAATGTCCAGTTTCGCCTCTAAAGTGACCTACTCGACCAGATACATGACTATATTTTAACACGTTCGACAGTCTCGAGTTATCGACTGTAACATTCTAATTCGAACCTTTCATCGGTAAAGTAAACAACAAAGAGGAATGGATAGTTGGGTTTGTATAGCTGCCATTTTGTTTTGTTGCGGTGCGAGGAGGCAGAACTTCAGAAAACCGCAATTTGGTGTCTACACTGTGTGATCTCCCTGAGAGTTCAAACAAATTTACGACGTTTTTGAAAATTCTAGAGACTTAATGCAATGCATCTGGTATTCAAGTCGCTCCACAGAAATAGAAATGTCGCCCTTCTCTGGTTAAAAAAAAAACTTCTGAGACAGTCATCGATCAAACATATAATTCGATCACGTCTAAATATACTGAGGCCATCTTTGTACTTCAGTTTTTTTAAAAAGTTATCTATAGAATATCATTGTAGTCAAACATTTTTTTTTAAAGTACCTCTGACAGTTTTACAAGCCATCTCTTTCCTTTACATAGTCACACTATCAAAACATGCAACTTCTGCATACCCACTCTATCGGTATTCTACCCACATACAGTGTACTTGTTACTAACTAAACTCGATTAACCGCTTCCCTCCCCTACCTTTTCCTGACCCTTCCTAAACTTTTACAATTTTTTCATCGCAGCCAAGTTGGTCATCGAATCAGTCAATTTTGGACGAGTTCGTATTAAAGGCTCAGTTTCCAATTTCTATCTCTGCGTGGACAAGAAAGGGCGACTTAGAGCAAGGGTAAGTGGAAAAGTATTAGACAGTGTTAAACAAGTATCACTGACTAACAGTTGGGCGGCAAGCACCTTGATTGTCATATTTGCTCGCAACGTTACTTAGGACCGGAACCTGCTTAGAATAGCTATTGTAATTACGTGATTAAGTCTATTTTTGTTTCATGTTTTTCTTTTTTACGAAAAAACAGTCATAGTTTTCCGTACAACAAGAGAGGTAATCTTCAAGAATTTGTCTCTTATACATATCAGGTGTAATTGTCAGAAGGACTATTTCATCCTAATCAGTCCTTCTCTGCTTTCAAAGAAATGTTTTTCGAATAAGGGACAAAAAAGGTTCCTTTTCACTGTCACTGATCAGCTGATCTTTCCACTAATTGATTCAGACTAAAAATAATTTAATTCATTAGTTACAAGAACAATCGGTAGTCCTTTTTATCATGATTTCCTTCCTCCACGCGAACATCTTTCAAAAGCGTTCAAGAGAAAACTGATTAGTTTAAAAAATACCGTAATGCCCTGATGAGCTTTCTGAACCACTTCAGCTTACGTGTTAAGTCGGTAACTCTTCTTGTATGAGACATCAAATGTGTTGATCTCACCAAAGAGTGCCGTGTAACACCTTTTGAGGTCTACCAAGTGTTGATTACATGCGGTTTTGCAGCCATAGTGACACATTTGCAAGGAATGCTATAAATGCCGGATAGGTGCACGCCTATGTACTGATTGTAGGGTTTCAAAATGGAATGTTATCGAGCTAACAGCTTAATATCTTCATGCCGTAAATAAAACCCCGGTGACGCATGTAAGCAAATGCTTGAGACCTCATACGCAATTTTATCTTGATAAAAATAATCTGTGCAAGGTCATCCCTGCCATGCAATTTGTCTTCACATTGACTGCATGCCTTGTGTTTTCAACCGCTCACTTTATCCGATCGTCTGCCCGATAAGGCTTGATTAATGTTAGCTTAATTGAAGTATCCAATAAAGATTACGTGACTGGATCTCTTTAAAAAAAGTATTCTTCAGAGGCAATGCGTTGGACATTTACTCAAAGCCTGCAAGCATTTGTCTTAAAAATTGCTTAGGATACAAATCACTGTGGAAATTAGAAAGTTGCCGATGAGTATACTAAAGAAATGCTACTGGTCCGCCCAATGGAATTAACTAGAAAATTGCTTAGAGGACAAAATCGGATAAGTGTTCTCAAACTGTCAGAAATGAGGCAAAGAAGGAAAATCAATCAATCAGTAAGAAAAAATGTCTCCTAAAATCGTTTTAGCATGTTACATTTGCCAGCACAACAGTCTTTTTAAGACTTGACCGGTCTTAGTTCGTTTCTTAGCCGTGTTCGAAAGTCTTTTTTTGTTGTAGGATAATAGACCGTAACAAATATTGACTGAGTCAAGTTTTTCAGCTATTTTCATGACGTTATTATCATTCTGTATTACCACGTATAACGCGGACAAGTTTTCAAAGCTCTAGCTTTGAACAAATTCGTGCACTTTATAGACAAACACAACATGACACAGACGATGTCAGTTTGACGCTTGGCGCGTTTGCCCACATAAACAGCATGTAGAGCTAACTATAAAAGGACAGAAAACCAGCACATTCAAATAAGCCTGCTGCTCCGCATAATGCAATGAAAGAACCACGCGGAAAGTTCAAACGCGTTGTGTCTGTACCGCAATATCTTCCGCACTGTACAAGTTAATCTTTCTGATGTGTCTTACGATGCCGCCGATCTCGGTTTAGTTGTAAGTGCGTGGGAGGGTTTGCCAAGGATGATAGTTTACCAAAGGAAATAGCACAATTTAGAATAATTTGTCGCCTGAAACTGGTAACTTACTTTGAAAAGAATGATAGATTTTTTTGGGTGGCTTCATCTGAGGAAGTGGCAAGTTGACAAACTTATTACCTTACTACGAGGGAGGCATACTCTTAGTTTCAACACACGAAACAACAGCTCTTGTCATTGTCTGTGCCATTCTGTTATGTTTCCGAGGTTACTTTCATGAAAACAAAAACGTTTTCTAGAAGTTTAACATGGTAAACATTTTCAGACAGATAATCGGTACATCTAACGCAAGTTTGCATGTATTACTTGATTCTTCTATTTATATAATGAGATGACCATGTATCATCATTTACCTTTCTGAATTGTTGCCTATATAAGTATTGAACTTCTTCTCGTCTTGTGCTAGCAACTATTTTGTTTTGAAAACTTGCTTACTACTGGACCAATTGTATGGGAAGTTACGATATATCTATTTACGACTGAAGAAGTTTTAACTGGATACTTGTTCCTAATGATAACAAGGCAATGATTCATCTCCTCTCAGACTTTACATGTGAACGCTTTACAGTCTCATACATGTATGCATTATACGAACCTTGCTGGTCTCTGAACAAGCCAGGCCAATTGTTTTCAACTCCTCTGGCGGCTTTACGGCTTCCCTAAAGACCAGCTACCCTTCATATAAAGAGTTCCATAATACTCATCACTAAATAACAACAAACGTTTGTTGAATATCCCTCAACAGAAAAGAGGCAAATGGAAGGACAACTGCGAATTTACAGACCGTGTGGCTGATAACGCTTACACCGAATTCACCTCTGTAAGGTATAACAAGAGTCTCATCGCCTTCAGCAGAAGAGGACGACCGAGACCGGTGCTGAGCACAGAAAAAGGGGGAGTCAAGGCCGTGCAGTTCATAGAACGAGCATCAAACATCAAGCTCCTCAGAGGAAGAAAATACTGGAGAAAAGGCGGCAAACTTGAAGGAATAGATTTATATCGTAAAAAGCAGGTAGAGAAGATCTATGTGTCGATGAAGAAGTGGCGAGAATTCAAGCGATGGCTGAAGTTTAATACCCGAACAGCCTCAGCTAAAGTAAACTCTACAACAACGGCCGCGACGCCATTACAACCAACGGCTGTACAGTTAAGTAGTAGGCCAACTAGTTTTATGAAATATTCACGGGATAAAGGGCGAACTTAGGTCTGAAGTGCAAATTGTTGTATTGCAGAACAATCTTCACCTCTGCAATAGTGACAAAAAACTTTCAGGTGAAGTTGAGTTCACCCTGAAACCTCCTTAGGTATGTCTTCGAGTAGCAGCTAAAGAAGATAGTAGTGAGATTGTTGGTTACGTTTCAATTAAACCGGGGATTTTGCCAGTCCCGAAATCTGACAGCAACAAAAACAGGCGAGTTTCTGTTGTGTAGACAGTGATTTGCACATTGTAATTAAATTCACCATAATGCAGAAATATATCAAGTAATTGTAAAATCTTAAAAGCTTTTTAAAGAGAGCATAGAGTAGGCACATTTTTATCGCCTTGTAATTAATTTCAAAAGACAAAATTTTCTTTGAATTTCGCTGCATTTACAACGTTCAGTTGGTAAGATATAGGGCTTGTTTTGTTTCTTAACCTTTTCGCTTCTTTCCGCTTACCAAAAGTCAAATTCACGGCGGTGAAAAAAAATGCTTTTAGCTTAGTGTCGGAGTTTGTACGAGTGCGAAGGCGCATCAAATGGTTGTGAGCAGAGATTCCACTGCATCAAAAGAAAGCCCTGAGGTGAAGGACCACAGAACACAAAACGTCTCACTATATCGGATACTGAGAGAGGAAGGGTTAGATTATAAGCAAGTAATTTTATAGTTTGTTTTTTCTTTGAAATTTTAAGTCTAGCTATTAAGGCGACAATGGATTGTTTTTTTAGTATCCATTATTAACATCGAACAACACCTCACGGGAGCTTTTGTATATTTATTTATTGCTCCTGGGGGGAAATAAAGTTCAAAGGAATTTTGCTTCTTAAAGTCATCATCTAAAGGAGAAGAATGCTCAAGAAACATACAATATTCTTCTTCTTTAGTGGGAAAAATACATGGAATTTTGACACTGACTGCTATTTGAGATTTAAATGAGTAACTCTACCGTTTGAAAATTGACTTGAAGTGTGCTACAAAACGGCCACGGACGCCGCCATCCTAAGTATTGCTTAGCTACGTGACCGCTTACCAATACTGACTCAAAAGACGGATTACTGCGATACCCATACCCAGAGCAGAAGCTGTTTGCGAAAGTGGGTTGTATTTCCGCCATTTAATTGGTGTGCGGGAAAATAACTGAGTTGTTTATAGTATAGCGGCCTTCGTCCTTGGTTAAATTTTTAGCACATTTGATAATTTAAGATAAGATAATTTTCGCACGGTGTGGTTCCTCTTTACAATCTGAAAAAGTGGTCAGACTTAGATTTCAAACAAGGTTTCAGGAGCAAACGTCACCTTGACGAGGATGCGACACTAAGCCGAACAAATAGGCTTTATTAATTATCCTAGTAATACTGCAATATATATTTATAATTTTTAAAACGTTAAGCTGTGAAGGAGTTGAATAGGGAATCCAGACTAAATCTTAGGCTTAAGAAAAAGTTGAATAGGAGAGGTAACTCTGTAATCGCTAGCTTATTACCTATATCAAATCAGTATCTTTTTCGCTGTAAACCTTACTAAAGATATTTAGCCTTATTAGAACCCCATTCACACGAAAGCTTAAGCCTCTTTTTAAGTTTTTTTCGTTAAACGCGGTTGAAAATTGTGTTCTTCATAGAAGCTGCAAAACCCGATGTTCATCGATTTCAAAGTTGGCACTTTGAAAGTAAAAGTTAGTGACTACCTGTAAACTATGGAAAATTCAGTTTTCTTTTCTCTGCTTCTGATTTTCATTCAGTTAAACCCGGTTTTACTAATCATGTTTTGCTAGTGTGAATGGGGTATAATGTCTAAAATCTGTATCTTTTGTGCTGTCTTTTTGTGCTAATTCTTTGCTTAGTCACGTTTACTCGAATCTTCGGGCCGGTTATTTGAAAGGCGGTTAGCGCTTATCCAGGATTAAAATTAAACCTTGATTTTTGCTCTGTTGCATAAAAGCGTTTGGTTGTGCTGACAATTTGAGGTCTGTCGGACAATTAGGAAAAACTAAGGGAAACAAAGTATCTACGTTTAGACTGTCATCAAAGTTAGTGAACTTTATGAAACGTGCTCTAGTCCTGGGTTAGTCTAATCTTGTTTTCAGCAAACCGGCCTTGACTGTTAAAGCCATGCGCTTTTCGTTCCTACAAATTTCACCGGGCTCTGAAAACTAATATGCATACAACCGGTCTGTACCTAAAAGCGCGGAGTTTTAATTTAAAGTCATGTGACTACACAACGATGTGTAGTTTCCTCTAAGGTTCTTCGAACCGTTCCATCGTATGTTCAAGTTATGAAATACTGAGTTCATAGGTATACTGTAATAAGATCATACTGCAATGATCGTTCTTTATACCTATCAAGTGTATTAGAGTTGTTTAAAACCAAAACCAGGAACACTGGTTGTTGAAAAACAGACGAAACGCAAATGCAATACAACGTAATATGCGTGCATAGTAGATGAAGAGTTAAGGGAATTATGAGACTGTGGACAAAGGATTTGTCTCGAAAATAACTTCTCCTCATCTGTATAAATAGAAACATTATAATAGATTATGTAGGCAATACGAATGATGCAAACACGGCTTACAGCCAAATGTCCTAAACAAAATGCTAAAAATTAAAAAGAGGAATGTGGAAAATGTGTCGCATTCGCATTCGTAAATTTACCCCTGAAACGAAACAAAAGACAATGAGCTGTTCTTGTTGAAGTAACAGCTCGAGTAAGACAAATGAATCTAGCTTTTTTTACCAATTTTTAAGCTACACTAAATTGGAAATTTTCGTTCAAAAAAGTGTAGCCCTAGTATATCGTAGATTTAATGCTACTTCTGATTTTTGCCACTCTCTCATTCCATGATATTTAACAATTACACCGAAGTGGAGGTGCATAGCCGCGGCTCGATAACCATCCACCACTTAAAACCGACTCGAAGGTAAATGATTGTGTATATCACATGAGAACCAAAGAAATATCTTTATTTCTCTCAAAATAACAAGAAATGGTCGCAAACAAAACTCTTGACGAAAAATCTTGTCCCTTCAGCTGCTTAGAGGTCAAAAGTGCTGCTTATCACCCCCGGTTAATCCAATCAGTGCGTGCAAAAAGCACTATGCACCTGTGTGGTACATGCAATTTATGTCCGGCTGGACTTTTTAAAACTGGGTAGGCAAGGAAATGGAAGAGCATCTTTCAAGGTAATACTGGATCAAAGGCCTGGACACTGTTTTTTCCAAATTAGGGGCTACTTAGCTTTAGCTCTCGTCTAATGCGTGAAATCCAGAAAGACAGCGATGACTGATGATAAATACTGGTATGAGGGGGAGGTGGGTAACCCGACTGTCGTAAGTCTTCGACTGCTATTTCTGTCCGAGAGCCTAGTTTGAATCCTTTTCTCTACGGGTCAGGTTACTAAGGACAAAGAGCGGAAGGGGGCTCTTTGATGCTGGCCGTCATCAGGGTATGCATGGACAGGATTATCAGAAAGAGCGATTTGGGTCCTTTTGAACTAATTCCAGGGGTGTGGCACAAAACTTAAGCGTAAGTTGTCTTTGTATGCCTTTCTTGTAACGACTAGCATTAGCAGCAGCTAATTCTAGGGGTGTGGCTAAAAACTGTGGCGTGAGTGGTCTTTGTGTGCCTTCCCTGTAACTACTAGCAGTAGCAGCGATTCGTAATAGTTCTAACTTGGCTTGACCTCTACTGAATTTCACACAGGGTTCAAGCAGTTTTCTCTCCTAGCCAGTGCCTTATTGCCTTTGGCAAAGAACTAGCAGTTTTTTTCTTTTCTCTTTACTTTATCTTATTTCCCTTTTCTCAATGCCAAAAGAGGCAGACACTAACATTTCGCATGCGATTTTTTTGTGCATCTAAAGGAAGCCATCAAAGTCAGCAGGGGGCTGGTACATACGAGAATTGCAGAGCCTGGTGAAACTGATTTTAGTTTCCACTAAATGTAAACTTTAACTTGGCAAATAGTGGGAGGAGTTGAACATTTTGGTAGCTTGGTTCTCAAAACCCCTCCTATTGTGGTTTGGGGTCTGACCATAGTCCTCATAGGATTTTTACTTGTAAGCCTCGAGTTCGTGTACCTCTAGGCCTAAGCTTGCGTGCTCGACCCAGCTTTCTTGACGCACGTCCAAGCGTACCGAACTTGAACCATTGTTAAAACGCCTTCTATTGCTCTACTTCAGTATTTTCCTTGACGGAGCAGTATAGCCATGGGTAGTATGGCCACCAATCTTATTCATTAAGCTTAGAGAAACGCAATATAAAACTGGACTCTGCACTTTTGTAAACTAAGAAATATTGCTTTTTTATAGACCCAGTTCTGTTTTTGCATGTGGAGCATAACCTGTACATTGAAGATAATACTGAAGAGAACCACAAACGAAGTACGGCTATCCATATCCTTTCTACTAATTATTTTGCCTTCGATCTCTCAGATAGGATTTTCTCACAGAGCAAAATCGTATTAAAACCTTGAATTAACAATTATAAGAATTGATATAACCATTATTTTTTTTTTTATAATATTCAGGAACAGATGCCTATCAATAGTGTTGGGCTCCCGTCAGAAACGAGCCAAAAATGACAAAAATTGAAATGTGCAACAGATAATGAAGTAGTTATGAGATTCTAGAACTTAGTCAGTGAGCCATCTTTCACCTTTAACACTGTAGAAAATTGCGTTTACACTTTACAGAGTACCTAATGCCTAGAGGCTGGAGATAATGAACTCATCCTGTCTCTGCACTGACAGAAATCTATCTCGAAGACTACAATGAGAAGGCTTTTAGCCTTTAATCGCCTAACATTGGTTAGCTTCTAATTTCTCTTAACAGTGCTGTCTTTGAATCAATTGTAAAGGTCATGAGATTAATGGAAATGATCACCAATCTAAGAAGCCCTTGACTGTCCAACAAATTCTCCTTTTCATTACCATAGGGTATGTAAAGAGGTAAACAGTGTAGAGAAAATGAATATTGATGTTAAGGTGTAAGGGGTTTTAGAGAGAAGTTAACTCAACGAGGTCACATCTGCAAGTATAAATAAAGTGCAATTGACGTGAACCAAAACCGCGTTATTCAAAAGGCTAAAATATGTATTTAAGGACTCTCTTATGATGTAGAATGTTGATATACTTCGATCGTGAAACGCTACGTATTCGTAACTCCCCCCTTTATTTGCTCGATAAAAGAGGTGGACCTCTGAAAAATAAAAATAATTTTAGTAATTTAATTTTATCCAGCACACGTATTGTTTGCACATTTTTTGAAGGCCCACTTAGCGTTGTGGAATAGCCATCGAGAATGCACCGAGAGGACGTTTGTTTAACTGGTACTCAACAGAGGAAATGACCTGTGGCTATTTATTTCACTTTCAACGGAAAAAAAGTGTAAGCATGTTCCTATCACGGGGGACAGATGGTCAATAGTTCTAAAAAAAAAAAAAAAAAAAAAAAGGTTCGTTCACTGTGGCAGCCTTCTCCCTTTTTCTCTCAAGCGTCAAACTTCAAACCTCAAACCTCAGACTCTTTGGCTAGCTGAAAGACTGACGAGAACAGGCTGGAGATAGGGTTCTCACGCTGGAACCACTCCAAGTGAGTGCTTTAAACAAAGTCGATAAAAGTGTCGTTATCGAAGACTTTAGGATCTAAAAATGAAATTAAATGGGGGAACAAATATTACTAGTTTGGTTATTTAAAAAGGGGTGGTGGCTGAGTATTGTTGTCCTGCGGTACTTCCAAGATCCGCCATTGTGACAAAATATACAGGCAGCGACCAATACTGGAGATCAACCTTCACACTGCGTTCTCCACCCTTCCAATTAAGTAAAAACTCGACTCTGTTGAGCCGCGGGTGATATTGGGTGGACTGTGGGAACCATGAACAGTTTTTCTAGGAATGTCCGCGGAACTGTTTATGGCCTAAAGCCAATTACAACTGTTTCCTCAATCACAAATGAGACGGGAAAACGTGCTGTGACTCAACAAATTAATCCAAGGTTGTTTTTCTATCGCTCACAATTGGCCTGAGGAGTCCGCAGGAATCAAGACACGTACAACTGTAGAAAAGTTTCAATCACGGGGAGTTAATTATAGGTCAGACATACGTTGATCTGCAATCTCACCCGATATCAACCCCTTGTATTGTTGCCACCTACACCATCTCGACTGTTAAATAATTAAGTAAATCACGTCTATATTGACATCATCGCACAACCAGAGTGTTCGGCTCGGAGCACGTTCTCTTTCAACTTAAAAATTCACTCATGAAGAATGTTTAACTAAACAGTTTCATCGAGGTACATGTTGATAAAAGTTGTCTTCCATCCGATTGCCACCTTCACCTAAGGTGATGACGGTTATCAGAACCTCAGTATAGGCGGCCTTACATATATAGAGAATACTCCAAAATTGATCAGCGATACAAATGTAACACATGAAATTTGGTTTATTTTGAGCGAGTCAATAGCAAATCTATTTGATACCTTATCGCGAGTCTGCTAAACAGATGCAATATAAAAAAATTGGGACGTGATCATTTCCTCTCACAAGACAGCATCTTTGTTTATTCGACAAATACCGATTTTTTCACCCACTGTTTCTCTCAGTTGTGCACTTCCCGTGGTTTGAAGCTCGCAGAGCAGCACGTGCTTCTAAGTGCCAAAGGTGTAGACAAAAATTCTGCATGAAATGGCCTCTACACTTACTGGCACTAAGTTTGTTTGAAATTCGTCGTTATCTCAACGAACTCTCCAAAGTACTCATTATCAAAGCAATAAATACTCTGTTACTTCTTGCTGAAGTCAATGTTTCTTTTTACTCTAAATTATCTTGTCGAAGTCAAAATAGGAAAACAGATTTCAACACTCTGACGATTGGAGATCCTTTCCTAATTCTATCAAATAACAATCCTAATTAGCGATATCTTCTTAAAAAGTCCTGGGAGGTATTCTTATTTATAGAATTTATATTAATTCGCCAACAAACCCGGCGCTGGGGATTCCAAATGGTGCTGTACTATAAATTAAATGTTTTACAGATACTACATTCGAACATACCGCGTGCTACATTCTTGTGCTTATCAGTTATTTTTTTAAGTGACGATTTTCATTTAAGACTGCAATTAATTCATTTGATGGTAGGAGGTTTTCCCATGCTTTTCACTAAGTTCATCACTGCCAAGGTCCATCGATTCTTTGCGCTGTCTGTCTTTCCGTCCTTACAATATCACCTCCAAAAAAATTCGATGTCCGTAACTTAGACAACATACCATAGTTGTTATATTTTTTTCTTCACATCACTGTTCTGCTTGCAAATATATTAATATAGTGAGGAGAAATACTTTTTGGGTTACTTTTGGGAGCAAATGGGTCCACTAAGGCAGCCAGGTTTAGTGATTAGCATAAAAAAAAAAAAAAACGCACGGGTAAAGATACGGAAGAGAGTCCATGAGCTCTATCACGTAAGAGATCAAAATTCAATTCTCAGCACTTCGAGCGTTAGCCCTTCGTCAGAGCGAAACGCTAGAAACGTCAGTTTTGAAACTCTTTACGGTGGCAAATTTACATTAAGAACGCAGTTGATAAAACCAAATTATTTTGTTATACTCCCCCACCGACGCAGC